GGGTCGATGGATTGACAGATTTTTACTTTTTAATACATGGTTGTATGTTGTGAAGCTTGGTGGCCTTGTTCTGGGTATCCATTCCTGGATGAACATGTGGTACATGTGCCGTTTGCTGAGTTCAGGGCTCAGATACTCTCTTGTTGATTTTTCTCTACAGTAATGAGATTCGACTTCAGGAAATCTGTCGAAGTGATCTGATATTGCTTTGCGCACAAATGTATCTCTTTCTCTTTCTGCCTCAGATTGTCTTCCACTTCGTTTGTCCTTCTCAGCTATACGAGTGGAAGTAACTTTGTTCAATGCCGTTCTGGCGCTCTGTTCTGAAATGCCCAAAGTGTTTAAGAAAAACAATTTGCAGTCTGGAACAAAACTGTCCCCAACTGTAAGCATGTACTGTCTGGTATTACTTCTTCGTAATTCGCCTTCAGTGTATTTCCTCTTTGTTTTACAGCATTTGACATGTCTCACAAGAAACCCCCGTTTCATTCTTAGATCTCCAAGGGAGTGATACGGATAAAAAATGGCCTGCCTCTACTCATCAGTAACTGTTGAGCATTGTTTCTTGTGCTTTGTACACATGTCTCCTTTACATCTTGCTTTTATGTGTTTGGTGGGCACGTCTTTTTTGTCTTCATGCTTGTGTACTCTTGTCCCAAATTCCTCTTCATTTGGGCTTCCTTCTGCTTGTTTGATCTGAATTTCTCTTCCTTCCTAACTTCTTTCTCACTTCCCTCCACTGTGTACTGCTCGGGAACTAATCTTTGCATTCTTCCACCCCCCTCCCCTCCCTCTCATCAATGACTGTTTCCTTTGTCTGAAACTGATCGGGAGCATCAGTGTTCACATTCACACCAGCGGGAATCTTAAACTTTGAGGGCCTACCTACAGCTTTTACACTTTTTTTTCTTTTGACCTTCTTGTGCTTTTCCCAGGTTGAACACACGATGGAATCTCGTCATTGAAATTATCAAGGCGAAGAAGGATTTCACAATCAGGACAAGCCGCCCATACTTCAGCATTGCACCTTCTGGCCTCGCATGTTCCAGGATTGAATTCCGACACACTGACATTTCATCACTGTCTGCATCACTAAGCATTTATTAGTTTCCTTGAAGCACATACGTGTATCTATTTGTCCCTTAAAGTTCTCAGTGGCAGTAGGACACCCATGACGTGTGCAGTCTGTGAGTTTAAGACTTCACCAGGATTCTGAATGTCAATCAGAGTTTGAACAGTAGGGCTATATGTCAAAGAAAGAGCAGTTGTTCAGAGCGGGATCCCATTTGTAAACAAAGAACGAGTAAAAAGGGACTTCTAGAAGTGGAGTCTGAGCATTCACAGCACATCCTCACTCGAAGCACACTGCACACGTGAGCGCGCGGGACACATTAAACTTTTTCAGTTGGTAGGAAATTTTGAATTTTGCCCGGGTGGCGGCCTAAGCCTACTCTTATCGGTTTTAGACCTCCAAGGGATCTTTAACGTGCGCAACTTGCACACGGGCCCTCCGAGATTTTTCGCCCTTGTCCGAGAAGGCTAGGGGTAGATCTTTCCTACCAGAAGATCAGGGGTGTGGCTGAAAGATAGCAGTAAGAAGCCAAGGAGTAACAGTAGAAAGGCTGTAGAAAGAATCAGGAGCCCAGAGGAGGGGGGCAAAGGAGATGAGAGAGTGGAGGCAGAAAGAGGAGACGAAAGCAGACGACAGAACATTGCTAGAGAGCAGGAAAGGAGGTGAAAGGAGACACATTTTGAGAAGAAAATTTTTCGGTCACTACCCGGAATCGAACTCGGGACCTTTGAATGAGAGGCCAACACCTTAACCTCTAGGCCACGAGAGCTCCCTGTGCAGAGTATGAATTATACATCATACAGGAAACCCCATTACTGGCAGCTCCAAAATCGAATCTAGATGGAAGGAATATTTCTCAGAACGTTTGAACACCACTCAGTAGTAATCAAACAAAGAGTTCCAACTAAGTCATCCAGAGGAAGAAGAACCCACCATCCTATCATCAGAGGTCAGACAAGCAGTTAAAACCAGCCCCCACCCCCCAAAAAAACAACCCCCCCCAAAAAAAAAACAACAACAACAAACAAACAACAGAAGCACAGGAATAGTCGAGGTCACCACGGACACCATCCTAGCATTAATTAATGAAACTATAATAGCTTGGCTCACAAAAATCTTCCAGGAAGCAAGGACAGAAAAATAAGTTCCCGGCGACTGGCAAAAAGCAGTCTTATAGTACCAATCTGGAAGAGGAAAGGCTGTGGGCAGTGGCGGTGGGTAGTGAAGGACTCACGGGCTTGAGCCCCCCTCCCCACCCCCAACTATATCCCAAAGCAAATGAAAATAACAAAATAAGCAGTTGAAACCGTTATGATCGCACGCAATGAACGCAGAATTATCAACTTGGCGGCTTGCTCGTTTATCTAATCACTGTTGCCACCGCTTACAACTATAGTAACCAAACAGCCAACCAAAATTAATGTCTTTAGGGCTCAGCAAAGATTGAGCCGGTTCCCACGGCCCCTCGTTAATGAAACGCTTCTTGTTTAAAGGTAGAAGACTTGAAAAAAATAACACTGCACAGATGGCTCACGCTGTCCTAGCCTTGACAGTGGGGTGAAAGTTTACGACACACTTTCCCCAGTGACACAGTTACCTACGCTCCCTTTGGACCTTGGATGGGTGCTGTCTACTTGCCTCGACTACACGGCCTAATCCAGCTTGTGGAGTGCTGTGTATGCATGTTGTGTGTGTGCCGCTGAAATTTAACAGTTATTAATTACACCAAAACACTTTTGAGGCAACTTTTTTCATCAGATAAAAATCAGTTCGAGAAGTTTGGACGTGAACAGTTTCATCCCCAGTGTCCAGAGAAATGTTAACGTAGAACAAAGAGAAGGAAGACAAAGGTGACTCTTCTTGTTTGAATGATTCTCAAAATGCCCTGGCTCGCCGTGAGTATGGAAAAATCACCACTGCTTTTTTCTTATTGGTGGTAAATAAGTGAAAGCAACCTAAGCCCCACCCAAATTTTGGTCCACCCACCGCCACTGCATGTGGGCAAGATGTTTGTCAAGATACTGGAATGGCGAACAAGACACAAAGTTGAACCATTTTTGAGTGAGGCTCAAATGAGATTTAGAAAGGGCAATAGAACACGACAGGGAACTAAACATAGATCTAGTATTTGTCGACCATGAAAAAGCATTCGACAGAGTGAACAGAAACAAGCTGTGGAAAGAACTCGAAAACTACATTGTAAGAGGCCAACTTCTAGATAACATCAGTGCCATTTACAAAAATAGCATAAGTACAGTAAGCATCAGTGCCATTTACAAAAATAGCATAAGTACAGTAAGCATCAGTGCCATTTACAAAAATAGCATAAGTACAGTAAGCATCAGTGCCATTTACAAAAATAGCATAAGTACAGTAAGCATCAGTGCCATTTACAAAAATAGCATAAGTACAGTAAGAACGCCAGTGCCATTTACAAAAATAGCAAAAGTACAGTAAGAACGCCAGAGGGACTCACAGAATGGTTCGAGGTAACATCCGGAGTAAGACAAGGTTGTGTCCTGTCACCATGCCATGTAGGCTAATATTTATCATATGGATAGAATTACAAAAGAGGCCAACACAGAACTAGACGCCCTAAATGAATGAATTGCTCTTCGCTGACGACCAAAGCCCGGCACACACATATGAACAAAGTCATCAACACCACACCACCAGATTAAACCAAGAATGTAACAACTGCGACATGAAGATCAACATCAACAAACCAGAGACCATGAAAGTTAGCAGATATCCAGGACCACTCAGGATATACATCAACAGCAACAGTCTCAGACAGGTCTAAAATTTAAGTGTACCTCGGAAGCATATTCACAGAGGATGGGCGACTGAGCAGAGAAATTGAAACACGAGTACAAAAGGCCAAAAATTTTAGTTACCACCTTGCTCCACTACTAAAACATCCTAACATCCCCATGACAACAAAGTCAAAGCTCAAAATGATCAACATCATTTTCATCCCAACACTCACCTATCAATGCCAAACATGGACCACGAACAAGACATTGATGAAGCAAAAAATAACAACATGTGAAATGCGAATTCTTAGAAAAGCAGTAAACATGAAAATCAGGCGATACAAAATTAAAAACTCAGTAGTCAGAGATATGGTGGGCACAAATGATGTATTGCATCACATCAAACACCAAAGAATCAAAGTTGGACATCTCATACGATTACCAACACATCACAGCATAAAATTTTACACATATGCATTTATATTATATGTATAATACTTTGTTTTACGTACACATTTGTGTCGATTAATTTTTAAGATGTGATGTCTTTTTCATTGTAATGCGCATTGAGCATCTTTTAGGAAATGGAAATGCGCAGTATAAATGCTATTTATTATTATTATTATTATTATCCAGCACAACGTGCCTACATAACAATTCAATGGCAACAAGGTTAGATAGAGGGCGACCGAGAAAGACCTGGATAGATGGAGTTAGGAAAACACTAACAACTCATGGCATCCCCCTGACCCAAGGTCTCCGGCTGGTGGCAAAGAGACGTCTCTTTCTTCCCGCGACACTCAAAAGGGTATACGCGGCGGATAAAAGTAAAGAAAAGTAAAGTACTAAAATTTTTAGAGCTTTGGTCAACTTTATTTTTGTAAAATCCTTACAAGGATGCTTTTTTAATCGGCAAAAGTGGTGTTGAGCCAAAATAACAGCAACAACAAAAATACAGTAAAAATTGACAAATGGCCAGAAAAATATCAGTTTCTTTTTCTATTCAAATTCAAATGCAAAGAGGATTTTAATTGTTTCATTATACTATTTTTGACGAGCTAAAATTTTATAATGCTAAAACTGCTCGACAAATAGCAGATTGCATATCAGAGCTCTTTAATTTGTAAAGAGTTGTTTTGTTAGCTATAATGTTTATGTTCCGGTATCTCACGCATGCGTGCTACACGTGTCTTACAATCTATACAGCTGACGTTGAAATAAGCATTTCTTGTTGGAACCCTTTCTTGTTTCTGTTTTGATTTCAACGGACCTCCTTGCACTTTTAAAAATCATTGATCAAAAAGACCATGGCAGCGCAAACATTTCAACAGGAGTACATGCAGATGCCTCCTATTACACGGGCTTATACAACTGCTTGTGTTTTAACAACTTTGGCAGTGGTGAGTGCAGAACACAAACTCAAACGTTTGGCTTAGCAGTTAGCTAGATATCTGTATCACTAGATTCTATATCTAGATCTAGATATAGATATAGATCTAGATCAGATCTAGATCTATATATAGATCTAGTAGTAGGGCTAGGGTGCTAGAGAGGGCCTCCAGACTAGACTAGAACTCACACACAGCATAGCTACAGGACAGGCAACCAGAAGTAATTAGATTTAGATAGGCTTAGCCCTAACTTTAACTTAACTATCACTATCAGATTACCACTGTTATTAAGTGTTATTATGCGGCTTAGGTACAGATAGAAAAATCTTTGAAATTGGAGGCATAGATCTATTATAATCTATGTGTGTTGACATCGAGGTAGGCAGGTAGGCCTAATTGTTGTGTGGCATTGCAATTGGTCTGGAGGAAGTCCAGCGGGAAGTGATTCTCTTGCGAACGACCACTCCAACCTACGCAATAAAGAAGAGACTTTTGAGTGGGCTGTAAAAGATAGGGTTTTGCATTTGGTTGGGCAATAAAGAAAGTAAACTGATTTTGTGGTTTCTTGTGTTCTCTTCCCTTCCTTTCTTGTCTCTTCAGTGTCTTCACCACCAGCGGATAGCTGATAGCTTAGAGAACAACTAAACGCCATTGGCATTGGCCGATATTTGTAGTAACAGCGGTCTTGCTTGACGTCACTTTGTCAGTTATGGCAGAGAGTATAGAAGTAGGCCTACTGGTCATGGTGGCAACACGACCGCTGGAGGATTATATTTTCTTTGCAACTTGCAAAACTATTTGGTTTGGTTGTCTGGGATTGTGCAGCACCCTTCTTCCGCCCAGATTGATCCTGATGCTGTACACTACGTCTACGTAACCTGAAAAGGAGAAAAAGACTAAGAGTCTCTATGTCAATTTGGATTCTGAAGCAACAAAGTTCAAAGATGCAGTGCAAATAAATAATTGGTAGCTTCAGTTGCCACAGAGTGACGCGCTGGCAATTGACAAAAATTGACTTTTTGTCAATTGCCACCGAGTGAAGTGGTGTCAAGTCTGAAAACAACACTACCTTTAGCATTATACATAATGTGTGACCAATGGGTCAATTTGTTCTCAACTAATTTCATTGGACGAGCATCTAGTCTAGAGCTACGGTACCAACTTATTGGTGTGTTTTCATTGAGACGTATCTAGATCTAGGCTAGCCTTAGCCTACACTTTGGTGTAGAACCAACACAGGCAATTCTAGAAGTAGGCCTAGAAGGTCACAAACGCACACAAACTCATAAGCAGAAATTCACGTTATATCGGAGAACATAAAACGGGGGACGGGGGTCAGGAAAAGACACACACACACACGCGCGCGCACACACACACACACGCACAGAGGCAAACGCACAACACCGAGCACTCGAGCACAATAAGCTAGATCTACCCACAAACGCAAAAGGGCTCCAATTTACTCGATGGCAGTTGACACTACCTAAATAATTACGGCGAGGAAGATTGTTCATTTACCTGGCGTAGTGAATTAGGCATCCTTTTCCAGAAGTGGCCGCTTACGTTTCGTTTCTTGTATTTACACTCGGGACCACTTCTTCTGAAGAATCCCATGCTACTCATCAGCCTTTAGAGTCTCATTAAATATAAAGCGAAGTGGCTAGCCTTACTTAAGTACGGCTAGCTTGAGAGTCTAGCCGTACTTACATCTAGGTTTGGCCCTTTTGACTCGAACCTGTTGAGTACACAGGTCTCATTAGATCTAGATCTAGAAGTTATTCAGGTTTAAATAATGCAAGTCAGTAAGTAGGTAGCGTAAACACGGCCTTGCGGGCACTCGCAGCCTTCCGACCGCATGGTATCGGTGAAATCGGGGTAATTCTGATCACTGTTTCTTTGATCTTTCGCTATAAAACACCAAATGCCGTACACCTTGTAAAAGTTCAGCTTTTCCTCGTTACAATGGAGTAAGTTGTTTATATGTCCGATTATTAGGAGCTGGAGAATCGCCGACGAAAGCGAAGCCCCTCGCGGTCAGAATGCGTGGTCAGCCGGTTGAAAAATTGACAGGCGTGCATTCAAATGCTTCGCGGAATGAGGGATTATATTAAATGCCATCTTTTCATTTGCGGAGAACTGTAGAGATTTAAACGGGCTTTCCTGTGGTTACATGTATTTGGCCTTTGGCGTCTAAATAGAAAGCTTTTAAAAGTACTGTCAAAATGTTTAAAGATCACTTTTTACACAAAATATGTAAAATACTGGCTTAAAAAGATGTCAATTAAAAGATCAGTTCATTTAAGTACAATCTAAAATGTGTACTTACAGTAAAAGTACTTTCCTGTAAAATGTACTTGAGTACAAGTACTTTTTAAAAAAGTACACTTATGAGTACAATTTGAGTACTTTCTGCTAGTATGCTAAAACACTTCAGTGCTTATACATGCAAAACATCATATTAAATAACATATTATCCAGTATATTTGACAACATAGGCCATTTATTACTAATAATGTAAACAGTATACAAAGCATTTGAATATAGGTGCTGAACGTGGGTGGAAAAGGTCCGTGAATTTGAAAAAAACAAAAAACAACAACAAACAAAAAGACGCAACTAGTGAGTAAGTGATATTATGAATAGAACTTGTTTGAGCAAGACAACGTGATCAAATTAAGTCAGCCCGAGAGGTCGGAAAGTAGGAAAAGTATCCTAATTGGAAAATGTAGAGACAAAGTTGCTCTTAAAAAACATAGAATTTAATGAAAATGGCCAGCAAAGAAATGGAAAAGTGCCTTGAATTCTTCATTAACAAATCCTCAAGGAATCAAGGTAGCCTTAAGCATAAATCACAAAAAAAAGTTAAAAAGAAATTTAGAAAGTCTAAAAAATTGTCAGATATACACTGAGAACTCAGTTTCAGTTTCAATTGATTATAATAGTGGTAAGACAGATTTTGGTCACACTGTGCAGTCCACAGCGCCCACGGCAAACCAAAGTAACATGTAGTTTCCTAGAGTCTAGTAAGTGTAGTGTAACCAAAGATTCTCTACTATTGTAGTCTCCGCCTAAGATCCCAGTGCTCGGGAGCAAGGGAAATACGAGATCTTAGCCGACGAAGTCAAGGAAGAATCTACAGTGACCCATGAACTGACGTGACCCCTGGGTGGGTTTTTGACATTTGGCGAGCAAAGAGTTGTCAACCTTGATGACCAATTACAGTTGCATGGTGGCAAGAGGCATGCATATACACTCATTAGCCTATCGTGAGTCTCGAGATCTTTATCTATGTTTATCCAGTTGCCCCCTCCCCTTTACCTGTCCAAATATTTTAGCCTTCCGTCTCTGATTGAGTCCCCCCGTCTTTGTCATTACGCACCATTACGTTGTGACCACACCAATTAAAATTCAGGCTGTCTTGCAAATTCGGGAATAGAGAAAAAACTGCCTTCAAGGGGAAGAGTTCACAGTTCGATGTGATCCTGCCTGGAGTGAACTTGTAGGCCCTACCCACACAACCAGTGATGTAAGTTTAAGTGGCGAGCTCAGATGCGAGTGCGATGGTTGGGGAAAAGAAACGCATCGGTCAGTTCACACCTCGGTGTGATCCCGTCTGGGGCAAACATTGTACCGTTTCATGGAGTTTTACAACGCTTGTGATCACATTCACGAGAGTTGCTGATCTTTGACGCGACTGGCCGTTCTTTGATCTCAGGTTTTAACTCTTGGTTGATCGGCTGTGCCCTCCCAGGTGTTTGTTCCCTAAATTATGATCAGAAATTCCGGCATTTACCCTTTCATTAAGCTTCAAAAGTACTCAAAATGTACTTTAAAAATACTCAAAAGTATTTTATAAAAAGTATCGGAGTACAGTAAAAGTACTGATTCTCAAAATGTACCGGAGTGCAGTAAAAGTACTGAAAATTGTAACGTAAGTACAAGTACCGGGGTACTTGTACGGTACTTGTACTCCGTTACAACCAGCTCTGAGTGCCAGTGTTTTTTTTTTTAAAAACCGCAAGGGGTGGGAGGGGAGAATGGGGAATGGAAATGGCCATTTGTACTGGTGATTGTCTTACAAAATATATATGTGAGGCAGCGTGGTGAAATCAGGCGCTTATCAAAATAATGAAATCAGAGTACAATGAGCATTTTTCCACCAGTTTGGAAATTTTTATCAATTATTTAACCTGTTTTGTGTCCATATATATAAAAACACATTTTCATGTGAATTTTACTGTAAAACATTGATTAAAGGCACTAAATATGTCATTTTTTCAGTTTTGAAAGACTCTTTAGCTATACGAGTTACCAATCTTTGGCAGCCATTTTCTTGGTAATTTCATCACTGAAACCAGGCGACCTCACATCCTTCAATCGCAACTATAGTTCTTTTCAAGATAAATGGATATTTATGCCTTCGGAAATAAGGCAAATAAATCAGCTTTCTGATAATACCAATAACTCCACCTGCCCCAAAATGTACGAGTACCTGATTCCACAGCATCATATTATGTAGTATAATTCAGGTAGCCATTAGAGTAGGTTCAACTGTACTTGTGTGTTCAAAATTTGTTTTTTCAAAAGAATCTTTAAAAAAAAAATTTTTTTTGGGCTGTTTCTTTGTTGATTTTTTCATTACATGCAGTAAAACAACAATAGCTATGTCATCCTGCTATTTGTCAGTCGGATGTTCTAAAATTGGCATTGGTCTGATAGTCACTGTCACTGTCATATGATTCCAAAATTCATGGCACTGTAATTGTACAACAAATGACTTGTGACTGACTGAATTATATTATTATATAGTTAATTAAGCCTTCTATTCATGCTGTAATTACTCCACTGTGTATTATAGTACTTCTTTTGTTCCACAGCAACTGGATCTTATTAGCCCATTCCAAATCTACTTCAATCCAGACTTGATATTTAGACAGTATCAGGTAAGTTCTTCTATACTATCACCAGATTATGTCTCAATTGGAGGCTTTTCCTCTTGCGGGGATTTATTGTTTTCTTCTTGTTGTTTTTTTCCGGTGTGTGTGTGTGTGTGGGGGGGTTCTTGTCCTGTGGGTATGATGTTACATGTTAGACTCCCGATTAGTCAATGTTGTAAAAAAATTTCTGTAGATACTTATGAACTCAATAAAAATTGTTACTTCTACTAAATTGACCAACTGGGAGTCGAACATCATAACCATTTATAAGAAAAAAGAACCCCCTCCCCAACAAATATAAGAATAGTGGTTGTCTAAGACCGATGGACGTGGTAGGCAGAACTAATGAAAAAAAGAAGAAAACAAACCATTCCCTTTAATTTAAGAAGTCTTAACCAGAGGTAAATACAAGCTTTCTTCTGCAATAAAGCCCATTTAAAATTAAATACTTTTTTTTCTCTAGTGAAGGGTTAGTGGAAAGGGGAAGTGTATCAGCCAAGGAACATTGTGGGCAAGGGTGAAACAGATTGAAATGTGTCAGACAAGGATGACGGAGTGCCATGGTAAAACAAACAAAGGGGTTGGTTGCTCCCACTTGGCGAACAAGAGACTATTCTGTCACAAGTTCATGTTGGCATCTATTGTTACAGTCTGGGTAAACCGATCACTCGGCTACTCATCTCCATTTATGATTCATGTGTGGCCAGGGGATGTTCAATTGTTGGAGGGGCTGCTTTTGGATTATCACGGTTTGGATGTCCCTCTCATAAGTAGCTGAAAGTATGTTACAGATTTGTCTACAGTGGTACACAGTAGGAGGCGCCCGTAACCTGGAGCTGGTCTCCAAGTGTTTCATTCATAGAAGGGGCTAACAAAAGCAATAATGATAATGACAGTCTTTATTCGTCTTGCAGAGAAAAATTTGTCTTGGTCGTTGACAACGACATTGGATGCTACAAAGGTTGGCTACAGGTGAATGAATTATGATGGCTCGTTCATAGTGTGTTGGGCAGTTTCATTATAATTTTATAGAAAAAAGGGACAGGTGTCTTGGGCAGTTTTGTTATATGTAGAAAAAAGGGACAGGTGTCTTGGGCAGTTCCGTTATATGTTAGAAAAAAGGGACAGGTGTCTTGGGCAGTTCCATTATATGTAGAAAAAAGGGACAGGTGTCTTGGGCAGTTCCATTATATGTAGAAAAAAAGGGACAGGTGTCTTGGGCAGTTCCATTATATGTAGAAAAAAGAGACAGGTGTCTTGGGCAGTACCATTATATATGTAGAAAAAAGGGACAGGTGTCTTTGGCAGTGCCAGTTATATGTAGAAAAAAGGGACAGGTGTCTTGGGCAGTGCCAGTTATATGTAGAAAAAAAGGAAGGGGAGAAGTGGCTATTTGAAAAGGCAGTTGTCTTGGTTGTAGGTTGCCAGCTTGGCAGGTTCAACTTTATTCTCTGTTCTGCTCCATACTTTTGCCGTGTTATGCGTTTAGTTGTGTTGTTCAAAAAAGAGAAGTTGTGGCGGCTAACCTTGTGTGTTGTTACGTGTAGTACGTGAGTTCATGAGTGAGAGTTCAGGGGAAGTCGCCAACCTGTTCGAGTGAATGTGTACGAATGTCATGTCTGGTCCTGAGGCCTTATGTGTGTGTATCTCGCTTCGTGTGACAACAGGATTATGCTCGCTGTCTTTCTAGGCGTTCTAATATTTTGCTGAACGAAAGGACATGTATGCTGCAAAGTGAATGAATGAATGAGAATGGGAGAAGAAAATGAGTAAAAGAGATAGACTTTTGATGTTCTGGTGTTTTGTTTTTGTTTGGTATGTGTGTATATTTTGTGTTGCAAAAGCTGGTGACGAGATACCCAGCTTCTTCTTCCTGTTCTGGATCAATAAGGTCTGTCTTGTTCTCATCGCTGTGAGGCGAAAAAAAAAGAACTGTTTTTGTACTTCGTTTTCTTGGCATGTTTCAGGTGTGGAGAATAGTGACGAGCTTCTTGTACTTTGGTCCCATCGGCTTCAACTTCCTGTTCAACATGATATTTACATACCGCTACTGCCGGATGCTGGAGGAGGGGTCATTCCGGGGGAGGACTGCCGATTTTTTCTTCATGTTCCTCTTTGGAGGATTTTTCATGATTGTATCCTTTTTGACTTATTCTTTTGTTTTCACAGTAGTTACAAGATCTAGGTTTTTAAAGTATAGATGCAAAGTGCTAGTTTTCATAACGATTAAAAGGGACAAAGGTACTGAATGTGAATATGGGAGCTAAGGTCCTGTAATTTGATCTCTCTCTCCCTTCTGGCCCTGTGGTGTCATAAGTGGTCAGCAATGCCAACAGCATGTAGAAACTCAATACTCCTGTTCCCGTAGAATTATGCAAATTTAGAAGGCCAAATTATGCCAAAAAAAAGAAAAATTGCTAAAATTATGCAAGTTATCGTAACACCATTCGCGACATGTTTTGCACTTTTTCAACACAAAGTTTCATGATTTTCATGTTTTATGTACAGAAAAATTGAAAACAGAACATATCAGTATCAGTAATTTGTTGTGTATTTGGAAAAGAAAACAATTCACATCAGTAACAAAAAAAACAACAAAAAAAAACGAACCTAAAATAGTCATCTCTGTAACTTTCAGCTGTAGAGATCTAGATCTGGATCTATATATAGAGGAAAGAAAAATGTTTAAGAAAAATGTTAAAAAAAAAAAAAGAAAAAAAAAAAGGACATCTGGACCTCTGATGCTGGCACATTACTAAAACCAGGGACACCTGTCAAACATGAAACATCAACAGACATGAGAACAACTTTTGATGGATTGAAAAATTGAACATGCTCAAGGAACGAAATCACAACCCATAACCAAGATCTTCTAACAAGGGAAATAACCAACTTTTCACTTAAATGAGAGTTATTACGGTGATTACGTCCCTTTAGTCACATGGCGAGGCGTTAATTAATTGTTTTGTGAAAAAAAAAAAGGAAAAAAACATGAAAAACCGCGGATAATCCCAAATTATGCAAATGTTGCGGAATTACGCGAAAAACCGTGGCCGCGCCGCGGCCGCACAATCGCATAATCTTACGGGGACAGATGCTCGCCCGCGGATCCTTGAAAAGTGCTGAATGTGGGCCACCGAAATGTCCCAGCTGATGTGTTTTGGCACGATGGTTGGCGCGACATTTCAGGAATACATGGTCCATCGCCTCGTGCTCCTCTTTGCAGGCTCAACAGGACGGATCTGGGTTGTCTGCTGCGTGCGATTTTGTGTAGATATGATTTCAGCTTGGGCGATTTTCTACCAGTTTTCATTTGATATCTCATTATCTGTGGTGTAGTTTGCTCCTTCTTTCCTGTCAAACATCTATCATCTTTATCTACCCTCCTTCTCTTTTGTGTTTGTTACTCACTTGTAACACCTCTAATCTTTGGCATTTATATGACCTTATTTTGTTGCAAGTGCCGTAAAACACTTACTAAAACTAAAAAGACATGATAAACAACATAAGAAGTCTTTGTGCAATGAGTCCTTGATATGTCTTAATCTTTTTATAATATAATCCGTCTCCTCTGTATCTCTCGAGACTCGCCGTTACCTCCTTACATCGAGTTCGTCAGATCATCGCCCTCTTTGTGAACCTTGTGTTTCTGGGCAGCGCCTTCACCATCATGCTGGTGTATGTGTGGAGTCGCAGAAACCCCTACATACGGCTCAACTTCTTCGGCTTGATGAACTTTCATGTTTGTATTCACATCATCCAACAAATAGTTTCTGTCGTGTCTGAACTCTGTGGGTGGTTGGTGGGTGCTCTGGTGTGGTCTGCTCCTTTTTTTACTGTCAAACATCTATCGTCCTGATCTCTCCTCCTTCTTTTTTATGTTTGTTACTCACTTGTAATACCTCTAATCTTCGGCACTTCTCTAACCTTATTGAGTTGCGAGTACCGTAAAACTCTTACTAAAACTAAAACTGTCTGAACTCTGTTTGCTCTGTTTCTTCTTGATCACAGGTCTTTCTGTAATTTTTATTTTGTGTTGTCTTTTTTCTTTGATAGAGCTTTACCGTAAGGAAGATACACATGTTTTTTTTATGTCATAGCTTTCTCATAATTCTTTGATTTTGAAATGAAGTGCAGTGTGTTTGAAATTGGAGAACTGAAGAATTTTAGGATTTTTAAATGAGATTTAGTGTTGGAAATGTCAGTTGACGGAGGAAGGATTTTCACTGGGTGGAGGGGAGAAGGAGAAATGAGAATATGGGGTTTGGTGGAAAGGGGGGGGGGGTAGCGAGTTAAGGCAAAGAGAAGAAGAAATTGAGGCAGGGTGGGAGGAATAGAAGGTGAAATGGGTAGATTTGTAGTCAGAGATACAGAGAGAGCTGAAAAGGTGAGCAGGTCTGTTAGTGAACTGTTTATGCTAAAAGATATATCACCAGTGCCGCAAGCAATGCCATGTGTGGATACTTTTTACACCGGAGACAAAAAGCTAGTTTTTGTTGTGTTGTCCTGTCAGGAATCATTAAAAGCAAGAACTCTTGTTAGCCTTGACCATAACCATAAACTGCATTTTGGTGATTTTGTAAAGTGCATCTTTGATGGAGCTTTTGGAAGGTTAAAAAAATTTAAAATTCTCAACATTTGGACTTAAATAGATTGCTTGCAACAGTGACGATATGTGTCAGATTCTGTGTCGTACCAAAGTTTTGTACTAATGAGTTTGAGTGCTTCTTCTTATTTTTTTTGCACAACTAGCTGGTCTTACTGTGGAAGTCCATCAATTAGATTGTTGAGATTGCAACAATAAAATATAAAAAGGATATCCTAGTTGAGGGAAGAGTCACCTTTAACATCAATAACCATCACCTTCATTGTCATTATTGTCTTGGTCGTCATTTGTTTTTTTTTTTGTTTTTTTGCTGGCCATTTTCATCAGTTTTATTTTTTCTTAATTAAAAGCAACTTTGTCTCTACATTTTCCAATTTGGATACTTTTCCTACTTTCCGACCTCTAGGACTGACTTACATTTGATCATATTGTCTTGCTCAAACAAGTTCTATTCATAGTATCACTTACTCACTAGTTGCGTCTGTTTGTCTGCTGTTTATTTGGGGGGTTTTCAATTTCACGGTCCATTTCCACCTACGTTCAGAGCGTATATTCAAATGCTTTGTATACTGTTTACATTATTAGTAATAAATGGCCTAATTTGTCAAATATACTAGATATGTTATTAAATATGATGTTTTGCGTTAGCACTGAAGTGTTTTAGCATATTAGCAGAAAGTACTCAAAATGTACTCATAAAAAAAAGGAAAGTACTTTTACTGTACTTAAGTACATATTTTAGATTGTACTTAAATTTTTACTTAAGTACCTTTTTAAAAGTACTTTAACAGCTCTGGTCGTGGGTTTGAATGTCGTTATTGGCCTGGTTTTGTTTCCTTGGGAAAGGCACTTTACATGACTTTTCCTCACTTGGCCCTGGTGGGAACGAGTACCCAGCTATAGACAGCAAAAGATCTTGTTAGTTTGATAGTGTTTGAGCGCTTAATCAGCTGCTTGCGTTGTATGCTTCTCAGGAAGCTGAGAATGTCTCGGAGTGTTCTATGGTCTGCTGGGGTAATTATATAGTGTAAAGCGCATAGAGCTAGGCAAGGAAAGTGTTAGATTGGAACCCACAGGGTAAAAGATCAAGGGGAAGACCTCGTGTAGCTTGGAGAAGAGTCACGGAAGTGGATGTACAGAAAAGCGGGGAGACACGGAGTGACATCAAGCAACTCGCCCAGGATAGGGAAAGGTGGAGAGTGTTTGTTCGTGGCCTATATCTTGATCCAGGGTGAGAAAAGCCATGATGATGCATTATAGAGCTTGCTATCGGGCGGGGGTAGGCGCTATACAAATGCTATTTATTTATTATTTATTATTGTGATGTTGTTGTTGCAGGCTCCGTTCTTGCCCTGGGTGCTGCTGGGCTTTTCCCTTCTTCTAGGGAACTCGGTCATCATTGATCTCATGGGTGAGTGTGTCTTCCTAAAATTTTAATGGGAAAATTGTGCCGTTGGGTCTGGAAAAATGAGCTCAATCTTTCTTAAAGTTCATGAAGAGTGTAACAAAGTTTGAACTTTCAGTGGTTGACGGGTGCTCTGGTGTGGTTTGCTTCCTATCAATCGTCTATTGTCCTTATCTCTCCTCCTTCTTTTTTGTGTTTATTACTCTCTTGTAATACCTTTAATCTTCGGCACTTATATGACCTTATTGTGTTGCAAGTGCCGTAAAACTCTTACTAAAACTTAAACTCTAATCTTTGGCACTTATTTGACCGTATTGTGTTGCAAGTGCCGTAAAACTCTTACTAAAAGTGGGTTTTTGGCCGGTGCTCTGGTGTGGTTTGCTCCTCCTTTTCTATCAAACATCTGTCGTCCTTAGCTCTCCTCCTTTTTTGTGTTTGTTACTCTTGTGTAAGACCTCTAATCTTCGGCACTTATTATATCATGACCTTATTGTGTCGCAAGTACCTTAAAACTTACGAAAACTGCTTCTCGTTTGCCAGGTATCGCCATCGGTCACATGTACTTCTTCTTGGAAGACGTGTTCCCCCAGCAGCAGGGAGGCTTCAAGGTGTTCACCACCCCGAGACTTTTGTAAGTAGGCGCTGGCAAATGGGCGGTTGGCGGGTGCTTTGCTGTGATTTGCTCCTTCTTTGGTATCAAACGTCTGTCCTTGGGTGGTTGGAGGGTGCTCTGGTGTGGTTTGCTCCTTCCCTCCTATCTAACATCTATCGTCATGATCTCTCCTCCTTCTGTTTTGTGTTTGTTACTCTCTTGTAATACCTCTAATCTTTCGGCACTTATTTGACATTGTTGTGTTTCAAGTGCCTTAAAACTCTTACTAAAACTTACTAAAAATGTCTGTCATCCTTATTTTATCTCCTTTTTTTGTGTGTGTTTGTTATTCTCATACTGTCAAACACTCTAACTAATTACGCGACTTAGCTATGTTCTTTGATCTGTGAAATCAAATAAACACTAACAAATTTTACTTAAATTTATGTTCAAGATCTTTTCTACTTTACTGATCTGTAATCATCATCATCATCAATGCCTTCCGCCCCTGGCAGGGTATAGACCACATACAAGCTCCTTCCATTTATCTCTGTCCTGGGCCATCCTTCCAAGTGAGTTACATCTCTCTCATGTCCATTTCCACACATCTCCTCCGTGTTTCCATTGGCGTACCCCTGCCTCATGCTACCTGTAGGTTCTGATCTGTAATGCCCCCCCTTCAATGGTCCCCCTATCCTTCCGTGGCTTGCAGGAAGACTTTGCTTGACCCACCCCCCGACCAAGACGACTACAACCCGCTGCCCGAGGAAGCTGGCGGGTTCAACCAGGGTTTGGGCCCGCGGCCAGACCAGCAGGACGGAGACCAGTGATGCAATCTACATGTACTCTAGCAAGCAGAACCCTTCTCTGTCCCCGCGGTTTTATGCATAAAGAGTTCTGAAATTATGCAAACTGAGCCCAAAAATGTGAAATTATTCGATTCTGTTAATTTTAACCAAGAATGATAAAGGAAAATTTTTCGGAAATGTGGCGTAAAATGATCAAATTTTACTAAACTATGCGGGGTGCATAAAACCACGGAGACAGCCTCATGGAATGGACTCAAGAGATCTTCAGAGTTCTGTTTTGTAAAAGAGTCGTCTTGACAGGGCCAGGGAGGGGGCATATGAGTGGATGTGACCTTACCGATGTGTGGAGCGAATGGTTCAAATTGACTGATGGGTGTGATGGTGAATGTGATCAGGTGGAATAATTGTCTGGTGGGTCAGGTAGTGATGAGCCCAGATTTTTGATTGGCTAATGGTTGTAAGATGAGCACAGGTTGAATGGTCGGATGAATGTAATGGAGTGCAGTTTGAATTGACAATGGGTGTGATGGTGAATATGATCAGGTGGAACTGACCGATGGATATTGTGATGAACCCAGTTTTTTAATTGACTGATGATCGTTTGTGCTGTTGAGGCTAGAGAGGTGAGCAGAGTGTTGACATCCTCACCTTGGCGCTCATATGACATTATGCAGTTCCGAGCACAGTTAAACCTTACTAAAACTAAACAACTGATGGTTGTGAGATGAGCCTAGTTTTTTAACCCTATCCATACACTTGGGGTCATTTTGTACCCCAGGTGTTGTATTCTTCACATTTTAGAATACTTCTAGTGCAAAGATCTCCTTGAAACTTTAAATATTTCTCAACAAATCATTTTGACCGACTCCTATGCAAAGCGTACGGATCAAATTAACGAGTAAATTTCCTCTTTGGAAAGTCGGGCCACGGAGTTCCCCACATCGTATGGATACGATAGTAAAACACAATGTACAGGCAGGATTAATTGACTGACGGTTGTAAGAGCCTAGTTTTTTAACTTCATGGGGAATGTTCATGGGTTGACTCCTCTGAGCAGCAGACTGAAGGTGTGTGAGTGAGGTATGCTGAATCATTGTGTCTCACTGACTGATAATGAATGAACTCTTTCCTCTGATTGGGAGGATGTGGACGGTCGGCGGACAGGCGGAAAAATGATGTCGATCTGTGAAATGTCGTTTATCTCCGAGCGGAGTAAATATGGGTTTGAGAAATTTTTTAACTGTCCAGACTGTTAAGAGTTGATCTGTGTGTGGACTTGTCACTATTTAATCATACGAAAGCAGAATGTGCTGTTGTTGAAGATGCAGAGTGTTTGGTTGGTTTGTCGCTGTTTTTCTTATTTTTAAAATTTATTTAATTGTGTGTATTTATACCATTAGTGTCGGCATGTTGTCAAAAGCTTCTATGTGTAGAATGGAAAGTAATAGGTTAGTGAAAAAATCTGTCTCTTTCTCTGAAGATTTCTTCAGAACGTTGAATCCAGGTGTGCAGGAGTACCAAAGAGTCTACATAACAAGAGGGTCCACTCCTGTCTTTGACCCAATTAAAAAAGTGTCCTCAAAATTCGGTGGCGCCCTCTTCGCAAATGCACACCCTTTGCGAACAGAGTTACCCTACTTGTGTAAAAAAAAATCAAAGTGAAACTAACAAATTTTTGAATAAATAAGAATTCAAATTTCGGAAGAACGCTTTATTTTTCTTTTGATAGTTACGCTGACAAAAAACCTCTTCTGTTTCTTCGTTTAATTTGACTTTAGAATGAGAGGTGAGAGGTCATTAAAATAAAAATTTAAAAAAACAACCTAAATCTCCACACTGAACGAACCCGAACTGCTGATGAACAGCAGTCGATCTGCGCACGCAAGGAGGTGCTATTCCTATTCTTCTTCTGGAGAAACGAAAGAGAGCTTCAAAACAGACTGCAGCGCCATCTGAAGCAAAGAGTGGACTTCCGGCAGACACTTTTTTTTAGCTGAGTGGACCATCATCTTGTCATGTACATAAGAGTGTAGTGTGTGTGTGTGTGCAACGATGTGTGTGCGACGATGTGTGTGCGACTATGTATGTATCACCCCGGTTGCCTGTGTGTGCACAGAAGAGAAAGAAAAGGGAGAGAGAGAGAGAGTAGGATGTGAGGGGTGAGAACAAAGGTATAAAATATTTGTACATTTTTAAATTAAAGTTTGAAAAGAATGACAGATGTAGGATTTGAATCGTCAGCCTGGTACAATAATGCCGAATGTCCGACTTTGGTTAAAGTCAAACTGACCTGCTGTGGCAGTCTTTTTATATTGCACTACCACTGCATCCTAAAACGAGTAAATTTTGCTGCAAATTTCCAAGTCATAAAAAGAAGTCCTTTTTACTTGAGTCGCAAAAAGATGTCATGAATTAAGAAGGGTTTTGTTTTGGGGTGGGGTTTTTTTTTCTTTCTAATTTATCATAAATAATCCTGATAAACTGATAAATTACTTACATCATGATTGTAGCAGATTGACGATGTGCTGTATTGGTGGCTTGCCAGGTAAGCCTTAGGTCTACTGCTGGGATGACATCTAGTGTACTGCTGCAGCCATGTCTATAAAACGGTCAACCTTGTTCAATGAGGTCACTGTGTTTTAACATTTTACGCGTGTATCGGAACATTTAAATGCGTGAATGTTGGAGGCTGTCACTGGTAGGTTTTGTTCTGTATTGGTATTGTTTGTCTACTTTGTTTCAGAGGGTGCTCCTGGCAGTCTGGGTTTTTTTTCTCTTTAATGTATTGTTTTGCAATCTTGTCTGGAGGGCGCCTCTGACAGTTTTGTTTTTTCTTTACCGTACTGTTTGTATATATATATATTTTGCTTTGGAATTCACCTCTGGCAGTTTTGTTTTATTTTCACTGTATTGTTTATCTGTCTGTCTTACACTTTTCCAAACATGAAACGTTTAACATCTTGATGATGTGAGTTTTTGGAGGTGTGAGCATGAGAGCTATAACTTCTGCTGCTTTTTCTTTCCTATTCCTTACTATCGTCATTTTCCTCTACTTCTTTTGTATGTTTGTCACACCCTTGTAACCTGCTATTTCCGGGGTGCCTTGATAGTCGAAGTAGACTTTGTGCTGTTGAAGCTAGAGAGGTGAGCAGAGTAAGTCTGATTCCCTGTAAGGGCTTCTCTTTTGACATCCACCCCTTGGCGTTCATATGACCTTATGCAGTTGCGAGCGCTGTAAAACCTCTAATGAAACTAAACTAAAAAGACCTATCTCTCAGCTGCTGAGATAGTTATGTTGAAGAAACAATTTTTTTGTACCCACAAAATTGAGCACCTCTCTTGCCAAGAGTTTCTGTGTGGAAGCTTCCATGAATGGGGTGTCTGGTTACAATTTGTTGCATGTTCACTTTGAAAAAAAATGTGTCACGACGTGGTGGAATCAGGCGCTCGTCAATTTTTGGAAGAGTGGAATTTTTCTTATCATCTTAAAGTTTATTCTATTCTCTTGATCTTCATGAAAAATGTATACCCAATCTTTAATAGAAATCGTGATATTTACGATTAAAGAAGGTGGGGGTTGCCTGGTTTCAGAGGTAAATTTACGAGAAAATGGCTGTCAAAGTTTGGTAAATTCCATAATTTGCGAGTCCTTGATAACTAAAAATTTTCAATTTTTGTGCCTTTAATCTAAGTGTTTCAATAAAATTCACACAGACATGTGTTTTTTAATAAACATAAAAGATGTTGAACTAAAAATAAAACTTCGATAAAAATTGCCAGAATGCTGTTTTCTTCCATTTCATTATTTTTGAGGAGCGCCTGATTTCACCACGATGCCTCACAAAATATTCTTTACTGTGGTCAGACCCAAAGAGCCCATAACAAGTAAAATTTATGCTTTGACTGTAGGCATGTTATGAGTAGTTTCCCTTGCTTTTTCTGTTGGATGTGTTTATTTTTCCGTTACTCGACTGTACATTGTGACTGCACATTAATTTAGTAATATTGATTATAATTTAATAATAGTAATGATATAATAATAATAATGATAATAGCAATAGTAATAATGTAATAACAATGATGATAATAATAGTAATAGTAATAAAAGATCACTTCTATAGTGCTCAATCCTAGGTAGTTCTAGACCCTTCACAGTGAAATGAATTTTTGACAGTTTATATATAATGACACATTTTATATATATATAATATTGGCTCATTTATTGTGCAACAGTCCTTTCAAAGGACCGTAGGTCTCTAAATCGCTGTGTAACCCAAAATATCTCCTGCAATAGCACTTTCTAGAATTTCTAAACAAGAGCCGGTGATATGGGCACACGTCTGACTGGTGTAAGCTCAGACTTTGACCTTGGGTGGTGGACGAGTGCTCTGGTGTGGTCTGCTCCCTCTTTCCTGTCAAACATTTATCGGCATTGTGTCTCTCCCTTCCTTATTGTGTTTGTTACTCCCTTGTAACTCCTCTAATCTTCTGCACTTGTTTGACCTAATTGTGTTGCAAGTGCCGCCGACTAATACCAAAGATTGTACATAACAAGACAGTTCACTCAGCCAAAAAAGTGTCCGAGGAAGTCATTGCATTAGTTCAGATGGCATTTCAGTTTTTGTTTTGAAGCTCTCTTTCGTTTCTCCAGGAGAAGAATAGAAATAGCACAGTTTGTTAATTTCACTTTTATTGTTTTTCACACAAGTAGGGTAACTGATAGAAAAGTCCGCACTTTTTCGAAGAGGTGGCCACCGAATTTTGAGGACACTTTTTTAATTGAATCAAAGAGAGGAGTGAACTATCTTGTTATGAATGATCTTTGCTACTACTAAAATCTAAACAATCCTTTCAGATAGACTATAGTCTCTATATTGCTGTGTAACCGAAAATGTTATCTCCTGCAATAACACTTTCTAGAATTCCTGAACAGAGCCGGTGACATGGACACATCTGCCCTATGCTGACAAAACGCCATTTTTTTTTTCCTTTTGGCGCCAAATATTTTCATTTGCTAAATCGAAAGCCTGATCGGTTTCCCTACCTGTGTGAAAAAATCAAAGTGAAACTACAACTAGTTTTTAAATGAACTAGAATTCAAATTTCGGAAGTACTCTATTTTTCCGTAGTT